CCCTGCAATAAAAGCTTTTATTCTTAGCATTTTCTGTAACAAAGAAACATTAGCATTTTCTGTAACTTTATTACTTAATGTAATAAAGTCTTACTTACATTACGACTCTATTAAAAATTATGGCCTTATTGGTTTGGAAACAAATTTGATGGTTTATGGTTGTGATAGCCAAATTGATCATCACAGATTTTCTACTTTTTTTTTAATTGAAAAAGTACTGAAACTTTTAAGAATTTTTGAGGGATCTATAAATGCCATTGTAAAACATACAGTTAAATCACCAATACCTCTTTTAATTATCACAATATAATATCAAAAGTAAGGAAGGTTGGTTATCTGTATAAAAAAATTAGCCTTTTCAGGTATTTTCTTTGAGCATTTAAAATTACTAAACCAGGATTAATGGGATGGATCATTTCAGTGTCTAGAAAACTATCTTTTAAGTTTCAGGGAATGAATTTCTCTCTGGAAATAGTTTGTCACTGGTTGAAATGCTAAAAGGATACATCAGAAATTATTAAAATGAAAAATAATTTCATTTGTATGCTATAAACTTCACTGTTTTTAATTAATTGGGAAGTTTGGTAGGAGGCCAGGTAGAACTGGCAAAACATAAAATTTAGAAGGAGAAAGAGGCGTTTGTTTTCAAGGACTGTTTCAACAGAGAGAGAGATAAGTTTATTATTTATTTTTGGTAGTTATACTATAGTGTTTAAGAGCATAAGCTTTGGAATCAATCTGACCTAGGCCTGAACCCATTCTTTTCCGCTTATTCAATCTGTGTGGGCTTACGCATGTTATTTAACGTTCTGAGCATTTATATTTTTCCACTTGTAGAGAAGGAATAATACCTGCAGCATAATGTTACTGTATTACATGAAATAATATATGCAAAGCATCTAAGTATTACCTAATGTGAGCACTTAATATTTGTTTTATAATTATTGAGATAAAATGAGGCATTTGAAAATCTCTTTGTAAATAATTAAGAAACATTTCTATGGCATCTTGAGTGACATTGTCAACTTGGCAGGAATGCTTTTTTTTATTATTTTTTTATTGCTAATTCATAAGTGAACTTTATCTCCTTGGGATGAACTGTCAACTTCTGCACTAGTGAAGTTTTAACTAATGTAATTGTATTGCAGAGTATGGAGTAAGCATGAGCTAATTCTAAGTTTCTTATATAAAATTCTGTTTTCTAGGAGAATGCATAGAAGGGCTGCGGGAAAACGACTACCTTCTGATTCATTCATGCCGTCAGTGGACCACCATCACTGCCCATAGCTTGGAGGAGGGGCACTACGTCATTGGGCCAAAGATAGAGATTCCGGTACATTACGCAGGTAAAACTGCTCCCGTGGGGCAAGAAGAGGGAGTGGAAGGGGACTTGAATGTGCAGATTTTTTCTCCACGGTGAGAAAATAGGAATTGTCTATAAACTAGAGAGTACAATGACATAGAAAAAGAGAATCAAACACTTTCGTGTGGTCATTTGATCGATCATTGAAAGCTGAGATTCATTTTGTCGTAGTTATTTATAATTAATGCATGTCGTTAAACGTGGATTCTTATTAGATATGAAAATTTTATAAACACAAAGAATGTCTCTGTAGTCTTAGAATGACAGTCCCTATGTATGGCAACCTCTGGGCTTCGAAGGCTCTGCATATCCCTGGGCACAACTTGAACGCTGGTTTTTGTGAACGACTTCGATAGCATGATTTCACAAGGTACTGTTTCACAGATGAGCATTGTGGTCTGGTTTTAAAAGCCTTGCACTGGAAGCTCACATACCTGGACATATGCAAACGTAGCCTTTAGAGCACAGACAGCTGAGAGGACCTCACTGCTTTTGTTAAATCAGAATAGCTGCCTTCTCACCGCACTCTGAACCCCATTCAGCTAAACAGTGCATTAATTATTATTGAACACATTTATGTGCTAGTACTGTTTTGGAGCTTAGGGTTCACCTAGTGGCTTGACTGTACATACACACATATACACATATATACAGTTTTTAAAAAAGAATTGATGTTACCCTATGCTTTCTCCGGTACTTACAGTTAATTATATACAGGATTTTATTTTTATTATTATTTTTGGCTATTCAATTTTTCTAAAGATCTGTAGCAGGACACTTTAGTCAGTTAGCTATAAATTGTGCCACCTTAGACTGCTCTTATGTTTTTGAATGAAACCTCTACAATACCCAGGAAATTTTCTGTTTAGAAAAGGGGCTTTGCTGTATTTCTTCCCAGTGTCTAGAACAGCAGCAAATGGTACATGTTTAACAAATATTTATTGAATGAATGAATGTTTTGGTCCCCTTTTGTATTCCTAGAAATCTTTCATTGCCAGTCTTACCTAGGAATGATGCAGCTTCTCAAAAATCCTTCTTATTCAAAAAAAAAAAAAAATTGTAAGAAAGCATTTCTCTGACCTGAAGCTTTCTCCTCTAGAATTTTATTTCTTAGCCATAGGAGTAGCCTCTTCAGAGAAAGGACGAAGACGTAGTTGCAGAAAGTATTACTACTGTGAGACTGGGAGCCAGGCCAAAGGGGCAGAGAACGAGCCAGGCACGCAGACTGCCAGCCTCTCCTGTGCATAGATCCCACAACGGGTGAGATCCACCCTACTTTTAGCAGGCTCCAATTTCTGGTTCCTGTCTTCGTGGAAAACTAAAAAGGAAGGTATAAGATTATGCTTCATCAACATACAATTTTACCTAATCTGTTGTGTTTTTCTCTCTTAGTAGATAGTTTTAGTTTCTCTTCTAAACCCACGTGAATGTAGCTGTCAGATCAGCCCTCCCAAAGGAGAGCTTTCATTTGATCATTTCTGCAAATCTGTTTAGAGACTCGAAACTGCCACCGGGCCCTCTGACTTGTTGCTCAGGGCCTTCCACGGCCTGGTTCTAGTCTCCTTCACACTTACCTTTTCTACTCTGAAGACTGAACCTCCCACACCAGCTAGATTCGCCACCTCACTGTTTCCTGGACATACGGGAAACTTTTCCGTTTACACCATTCCCTGGTCGAAGTTGCCTTCCTCAGCTTTGCTCTTATCAGAGCCTGTCGTTGTGTCCAAAGGGTGCAGGTGTCACCTACTGTCCCCATGTGGTCTCCTGATATACTCACTGTGTATCACATTCACTTGGCACATGTCCTCAGTCTTCCTTCAGTTAGTTCCCTATGTCCATAATTCTTCACTCACCAGTTGGACTACACATTCCTTAACTAGTGAGACCAATTTTGAAAAGTTTTTGTAAATCCTTTGGCTCTCTACACAAAAGATATGATTCTTTATGGCTATAGACACTCGATCTAGAGATCTCAAACTTGGCTACACATTGGAATCACCAGAAAACTTAAAATGACCAATGCACAGGTACTGTCGTCAGAGGTTCTTATTTAATCGGTCTTGAGTGTGGACTGGGCATCAGGATTTTAAATGCTCCTCCTGTGGTTAAATTATGCAGCCATGGTTGGGCATCCTTTGTTCTGGAATGGGTAATCAGTGTGTCAGATGATAATATTTCCCTGAATGCCCACAAGTATTTGCAAATGTTTATTGTTTTGAATGTATTTTTTCTTAATTAGCAGTCATTCAGCTTCCACTGGGAAGAAAGAAATGCTGTGTTTAGCAGCTAACCCTTTATCTGCAAGGAAGATAATAGTACTGAAATGGGAAATCAGGCAGTGTGTTGCAAATGATACATTTTTTAAGCAAAATTGAAGACATGTCAAGACTAAAAAGAAACATGGACATTAAGATCCACCACTTTACATGAAAGGAGAGGAAATATAGTTAAAGGAAGAAAAACTTAAAATAAGACTGTCTTAATTCTGGCTACTATAACAAAATACCACAGACTGGATGGACTATAAACAACGGAAATTTATTTCTCACAGTTCTGGAGTCTGGGAAAGTCCAAGGTCAAGGTACCCGTAGATCTGGTATCTGCTGAAGGCGCACTTCCTGCTGTGCATGTGGCCGTTTTCTCCCTGGGCCCTCACGTCTTGGAGAGAGAGTAACCACCTCTCTTATGTCTCTTCTCAGAAAGGCACTAACCCCATTCGTGAGGGTTCCATTCTCCTGACCTAATTTCCTTCCAAATACCATAACATTGGAGATTTAAGCTTCGACATCTCATTGTAGGAGGACACAGACATTCATGCCATGGCAAGAACCCAATGGTTTATGAGATATTTGATAAGATCATTTCAAAGGACATACTGGGGTGTATTTTTTCAAAAAATTTGTTTATTACCAAGTTCAGCCCTTGGAAGAAAGAGAGCATAAAGTAAATTATGGGGACCAAAAAGATCACTTGTGTCTCTCTGGTTTATTTAGTGCTGTAATTATAAATAGAAGAAACCCTCATTCAAGCATATTTTACTAATTTGTCAGAATTTCATCTAGGTTGAGATTTACCTTTTTTGGAGGAAAATTAGTAAATAATTAAAGTTAAATAAGTTTAACCTAGTAATAAATCCCACCAGCTTTGTAATCAACCCAGTTGGATTTCTGGTTCTGCCACTGACTCTCTGTATTACTTTGGGCAAGCTACTAAACCTTTCCAAACCTTAGTTTCCTCATCTGTAAAGTGGGGATAACCATAGTGCCTTCCTCTTAGGGTAGTTGTGAAGACTAAAGGAGGTACTGCAGGTGAAACACCTTTCAGGGTACTTATCACTTAGTAAGGGCTCCGTAAATGTTCATGGTGATGGTTATGATAATAACAGTAGGAAAGTGTTTCCAAAGATCTAACTCTGTTTTATACTACTAATTACAAGTTGAATTACTTTTCTGCTTATTAAAGTAACGCTGATACCCCTCAAAATTGTTTTGGCTGCTGTTTTGTTTTTTTAACTCTTTGTTTTGAGGTTCCAGTAATATAATATATTCCCTTATACCACTTACCTAATAGTACGCATTTTTAACATCACTTTTCCTTGTTGGTCTTACGCTCTTCCTCCCATCCTCCCTCTCCTTCTCTCTGTCTACACACACACACACACACACTTATTTTTTCTGAATCATTTGAGAGTACGCAGCATACATCCTCCTAATACTTCACTGAGTATTTCCTAAGAACAAGGATATCCTCTTATGTAACCGCAGTGCTATCAGCAAATTCAGGACATTTAATACTTTAATCTACAGTTCATGTTCCAGCTTTGTCAGATGCCCCAATTATGACCCTTTTTGCATTTTTTCCCTCCAGGACAGCATCTAGTCTAGGACCACTTACTGTATTTCACTATCATGTTCCTTTGGTCTCCTTTAATTGGAACAGTTCCTCAGCCTTCCTGTGTTTCATGACATGTTTGAAGAACACAGGCAAGTTGTTTAATAGAACAGCCCTCAATTTGGGTTTCCCAGACTCCTTGTGATAGATTTAGGTTACGCATTTTTGGTTGGATTGCTACGTGTGTGGTGTCTCCTTCTCAGGCAATCACATCTGGAGCCGTGGATGTCCCTTTGCCCCTTATTGGTGACATTAATTTGGATCACTTGGTTAAGGTGTTGGTCTGCTTTATTATTACCATTTACTTTGTGATTACTAGAACATTTGAGAGGAAAGACTTAGAGATTTTGTAAGTATGTATCCTGTTCCTTTGCTAACTCCCCTCTCCTCACCCCCTTGAGCAGCTGTTGATGTTTCCTGTCTGATTCAATTTTTACTATAAAGGTAGGAAAACAGTGCATTTCTAACTTAACTGCATCATTCCTTCTTACACTTTGTTAGTTGTCATTCTACTGTAAGGAAGAGCTTTTTCTTTTTATATATTCACTAATTAGTATCAGCATGGAATTATCGTTTCTCCATTCAGTGGGGTATAAAGTATTTCTGTCCTTATGTATTTTGATGCTCAAATTGTCCCAAATTTAGCCATTTGGGTACAAGCTGGCTTATGTATCTCTGTGACATGTGCTTCCATTTTCTTCAAGCTTGTCCTTTTCTGAAATAGGTAGCAACCATTTTTTTCAGTCAGCATACTGTTCCGGTCTGGGCCATGGCATTGTCCTGTTCCAGGCAACGCCACTCACTGTGTGGCCTCTGTGTGGCCCTTGGAATTGTGCAGTGCCCAGCCTGGACAGCCATAGCAGCTCTATTCACATATATCCTGCAAAACAGTGAAACTCAGCATTTTTAGGAAATCACAATTCAGAGTGCTTTTCCCATGTTTATCAGAAATTTTCATGTGAAAAGAAAGAATGTCACACAGCTCTGAGAAAAGATAAATATGACTTGAAGTTCCTATCAGAATTGTACTCTGATATGGTAGTAATAAGATCGCCTTATTTTATTAGATGTGCTTTGGGGGGTGGGGGAATA